AGTAAAAAAAGGACCAGAGAGCTTTCTGTCTCCAGGAAATAGGTTTTTCTCAGTAAGAGTAAAAGCAACCTTACATAGGGAGGAAGGGGGGCTTGAGGTGGGTGGGTGGGGGAATGGGATAAAGTAAAATAAAATTTATTTTAAAAATAAAATAGGGGCCAGGGATTTAGCTCAGTGGTTCTGCTGCCTGCCTCGCAAGTGCAAGGTCCTGAGTTCAATCCCTGGTTCCAAAAATAAATAAATAAATAAATAAATAAATAAAATAAAAGCAACTTGAATGGGGACAATTGTCTTAAATACACTTTCTATGGCTGTACCACAACTAACACAGCATTGTTATATGTTCAAGAGGACAGGCCAAACCACAGACTGAGAGAGAATAATGGCAAAAGACATACCTGATAAAGGACCACTACCCCAAATATACAAAATACTCTTAAAACTCAACAATAAGAATTTCTGCAACCCAAATGAAAATGGGCAAAAGATCTGAACAGATGCCTCATCAAAGAAGATATGTAGATGGCAAAAAAAAAGCATATGAGAAGATGCTCAATAGCATATGCCATTAGAGAATGCAAATTAAAACAACAGCAAGATACCACATATACCTATCAGCCTGGTCAAAATCCAAAAACCTGACAATACCAAATATGAATGAGGTATAGAACAGGAACTCCTGTCCATTTCTGGTGGGAATGCAAAATGGTTCAGCCACTTTGGAAAACAGTTTGGCAGTTTCTCACGAAACTAAATATAGCCTTACTATACAATCCAGTAATTGTGCTCCTTGGTATTTACCCAAAATTGTTGAAAAGTTATGTCCACACAAAAAAACTGCACATGGATGTTTTTAGCAGCTTTATTCATAATTGCCAAAACTTGGAAAGAACCAAGATGTCCTTAACTATGAGATAGGACCAAAATAAAATAAACAACAACAAAAAAACTGTGGTAAATCCACACAAGGGAATATTACTCAGCACTAAAAAGGAGCCATCAAGCCTTAGAAAGACATGGAAGAACCTTAAATGTATATTACTAAGTGGAAGAGCCCATCTGAAAAAGCTGCATCCCATGTAACTCCAACTATGTCACATTCTGAAAAGGTAACACCATGGAGACAGTAGGGAAAAAGGTGTGGTTTGCCAGGGGTTAGGGAGGGGGTGGAATAAGTGGAGCAAGGAAAAGTTTTTAGGGCAGATATTATGGCTTGTGTTCAGATGTCTCCCCCAAAGCCTCATGCAGTCACAGGTGGGGCTTTTTCTGGAATTGATTCATGATGCAAAACTAGGCTCAAGGAACTAGGATTATGGGTGTGAGTGCTACCCGCCCTAAGCAGTCTGCATAAAAAGGCCAGAAAGACTCTGTTGAGGGCCCCTACCTTGCTCCCTTGATGCTTTTGTTACTTTCTGACCACCAGGAACTGTTTCTCCTCTGCATGGCCTGTCTGCCACGCCACCTGCCTTGGAGCCAGAAGATGGACTGAAACCTCTACAAACTGTCAGCTAAATCAACCTTTCCTTAACTCTGGATGTCAGGTATTTTGTCTCAGCAACGAGGAAAAATTAACTAAGACAGTAGAGAAACTACTCTGAATGATACTATAGTGGTGGGTATGTGTCATCATACATTTGTCCAAACCCACAGAATATACAACAGCAAGGGTGAACCCTGTTGTAAACTATGGACTTTGGGAGGTAATGATGTGTCACTTTGGTGGGGATGCTGGTAGCAGGAGAGATTGTGCATGTGTGGGACAAGGAGTAATGGAAACTCTCTGTACTCTCTGCTTAATGTTGCTGGGAACCCAAAAATTGCTTTTAAAAATAATGTCAAGTAAAAATAGTATCTGTTCAATAAACTCAATGTAATTGACATAGTAAACGAACTACTTAACTGTGCAATGATAAATTGTATCTATGGCAGTTCCTAAGCCTCTACACGTTTAGTTAAAATAGTTATGAGCCTAAGCCCTTAAAAGTTATGATATGCTCTGCCCTCAGAAAAACACTAGGATTTATTTTCCAGGCCCAGGTCAAATAATCAACCACAGCCCAATCAGTTTTGCAAGGTCACAGCAAAGGCTCGACCAAAGCTAACTCCGGCTAGAGACCTGGCCATGTGCCTCCCTTATGGGGGGAGGGGGCAGTCAGAGGCTCTGAAAACCAAAAAGCCATGCGTCTCTGTTGGACACAGTCATAGACCAAGGAAGCTTCTGTAACCCTGGAAACACAGCCAGACATATCATTTCAGCAAAAAGCCCAAATGCTACCAAACGTCATTGTCAACACCCCACATGTGGTGTTCACAATACACACGGGACTCATGGGAGGCATGACTGGAAAGAGCCAGTGATCAGTGCCTCCAGTCAGAAATTAAAGCACTGAGTGTGGGGGAATGTGTCTCATGAAAATTGTTCTCTTCTGAAGCTTAGAGAGGTATCTCGTTGCCAGCCAAAGGCTCCATGCAACTACAGTCAGCTAAAAGCCTAGCTGAAAACAACCTGTAGGGAAAGTCATTTGACTGGGCCTGGGAGCTCTTGAAACCCAACATGAAAGCAGTACTCCAACAGCCCTGCAGTTTGGAGGTTTGCATTTTAAAAGAAACTGAGCATATATCCCAGCTCCCTATCTGAAGCTCTACCAAGACTATACTTGCAATCTTGGCCTCTCTGGAAGGACCTTGAAAGGAATTTAGTCCAACCTGCTGTCCAGTGCAGGAATCTCTTCTAAAACGTGATAAACAGCCAAACTGCTTAGAGAGCATTGCTGTTTTCCAGAACTCCCCATGCCAGGGTATTTTTGCTTATTATTAGCAAAACTGGCCTCCATTTAACTCCCAAACCCTGGACTACACCCTTCCTGTGGAAGGAGAGAATAAGAACGATCCTTCTTCTTGGCTCCAGCCCTTACTTGCTGTGTGACCTTCAGCAAGTTCCTACACTCCTCTGCTTCAGCTGTACCTGATGCAATGGCAAGGACAACAGCATCTACCTCCCGAGGCAGAGATGAGGACGAAAGCTCTGCCCGGCTTCTGATGGGCTCATAACCAGCTTGTAACTGCTCACACGGGCTCAATACCACTCATAGCCAGCTGGTATTATAAGTAGCTGTTGTACACAACAATCTTTCTGATAACTTTACAATGGCCATCCCTTTATTAGGCTTGCAAGGAAGAGAGACATGCTCTGGTTACCTTAAGTCAGTGCTTGTCAACCTTTCTGTGGAAGTTCAGAATTTAGGGCTATACACGTGCAGGGTTTAAATAGCAGTCACTGTGATCCCAGGATTCATCTGGTCCCTTCTGCATTGTCATGGTTTGGGTGTGTTTTTACTTCTCTCAAACTCAGGAGGTCCCTTTTCTTCAGCACTAGCTTGCATCCAAGTCCACCCTTAACCCCTGACTTCTGACTTGCAGCAGGCTGGATCTGGCTCTGCCCCATCTCCAGGTGCTCAGTTTACCGATCTAGCTTTCTAGAATTGCATAACCAAAGAGATGCTTAAAAAATGTTTTGCATGTTGCCAAGGTTTGGCAGCACACTTGGGGAACATTTGAGGCAGTACAGTAAACCACATCTCAATTGAGAAGTGCTGCCATAAGAAACAGGGTTTGAGACTTCAGTGGAAAACACAGGAGCCCAGAATCTGAACCTCAAAGCCAAGCCTCATGGAGACAGAGCGAAGTCCGGGAGCTGGAAGGTTGCTTAGGAGACCAGGCAGCTCTAACAACTGGGTTATATCAGTAAATAAAATTGCCATCTGTTGAGCTCTTAATATGGGCCAGGCACCATGCCAAGCATTTTACAAGTGTTAGCTATCTTCTTTTTAAACCTGTTTAAAGTGTGGAATGAAATACTCTTGGATTAAAGGGTTCAAAACAAATGTACAATATAATGAACAATCACAAAGCGAAAGCTCATATGACTATCCCCTTCCTAGGTCAAGAAATAGACTAATACCAATCATGGCAGACCCCTGCTTAGAGGGAAGGATGTGCTGTAAAATATAAACTGTATTACATAATCTACAGTTTAATTCTGCAGATTTTTGAATTCTAAAGTAAAATCACTTGCTATGTATTGTTTCTTGTGCTCCACACTGTATTTATACAATTTATTTATCCTCCTAGATAGGCACACTCAAGAATGGAAATGTTGGGCTGTGCATGATTTCTGTCGTATCAGAAAAGGCCAAAATGTTGTCCCAATGGTCACACCCATCTGCATCCCACCTGCAGCACAAAGACTTCCTGTTGCTCACTACTTCACCATCAATTCATATTGTCATATTTTTCAAAGTTTGCAAAGCTGATGAACATGTATTTTATTGCAGATTGGATGCTTGGATTTTGAACCTCAAGTGCGCTGAATTGTGTTGTGTGCATGTATCTGTTTTGCTTCTTTTGCTCAACATTCCATCAGTAGAATTCATCCACATGGCTGCAGGTGGAATCTCACTATACTTTCCTTTATTAATCAGGTTGATCACATCTTTTTCAGCATGTTAATATTCTTTGTTAATTACTGGATTTATTTTTTGCCTGTTTTTCTATTGGTTGGCTGCCTTTTTTACTGATTTATAGGAGACTTTTTTCTTTTTTCAACACTTAATTCTGGATACCAGGTCTCTAGCAGTTGGTTTTGTGTTGCAAATATTTTCTCTATTCTCATGCATATCTCTTTGTTTCTCATAATGACCCCAAGAAATAAATATTCTAAATATTATGACATCTATGACAAGAACAATCTTAGAGACGCTCAATGACTTGTTCAAAGTCACCCAGCTGACAGTGTTGAGCAGGAAATCACTCAGATCTGCTCAGCTTGAAAGCCCGGCTCGCTCAGGGACGGGCACGGCCCCCCCTCTTCAGTGCTTGGAGGGCCTTCAGCCCCGCAGCTCCTGTGCTCCGCCCCCCGCCTCGTGACCGAGGCTCCCTCCTGACTTCCAAGTCCTGCCTCTCTTTTGCAGCCTTTCTTGGGACCAAATGCTCCCACTCACTTGTGCTCTCCTTCAAACTCCACGCAAGAGGTCTCCTCAGCCCCAGCGGCACTGTTCCCTTCCCAGGCAGGCTTTCACAGCAGACTCCGTCATGGCCACGGCTCAGCTGCTCTCTCAGTGCGGTCACTGTGGTCAGGCTGTGAATCCCTGGCAGCCTGCCTTGAGTGGGCCGTGGGCATTGTGGCCAGGAGCTGGGCGGCTGCTCTGGAGCAGGGCTCTCCTCTGGGCTCCACTGTCCAGGAAAACCATCGCCTGCTCTTCTGACATCTGTCTCATACCCATTCCCATTCCATCTGCCATCCAGTTGGCCACTGTTCCTCACTCCCCACCCAAGCCCCTCCTATCAGTCTGTGGCCTGAATAACTCTTCAGTCTGTCTATTCCATGCCAGCCCTGGCCTCCCACCCAGTCCCGGACACCACCACTCCTCCCTGGACTCCCAACATAGCTCCCACGTGCTCCCATCTGCCCCTCTCTCTGCTCTCCCCAGTCCGCTCCCTGCACGGCAGCCAGAGGAGTCTGTGCAAAGTGTCAGCCTGCCCATGCAACACAGTGTGAACCTTCCACTGGCTCCTCTCTTCTCCTGGCTCCTCTCTTCTCCTGGAATAAAAACCAAACCCGGTAAGGTGAACCACGGGCCCTGTGAGGTTTGGCCCCGCCTCCCGCTTCCCTCTCCCTTACTCTCTGCTGGGGCATTTATCAGGCTTCTGGAAAGGAGGGCTCAGGCACTGCCTGGAAGCTCAGGCACTGCCTGGTCACCCTGCCTGCACCTGCAGAGCAACTTGATAGCTTGGCAGCTCCAGCCTCATTAACGAGGTCTCTGTGCAATTCCCTGCCCATCCCTGCTTAATTGTTATCTCCACTGTAGGTCCAAAGGGTTCATTTAAACAATGGCAAGATATTACGGTCTGCTGCCTATCAGACAGGCAAACATTAAAATTATTGATAACATCCAGCACTGCTGAGGCTACAAGGGAACATGCTCTTTCCTGTATACTCTCATTCAGGTCCACCCCGAATGGTAAGAGGTATGGTAGTATCTTGATTTAACTTATTCATACTCTTTGGTCCTTTACATACTCATAAGCTATGTAAAAAATATATGTAGAATAATTTTTTTGCAACATAGTTTATAATTGTGAAAACTGGAAGTAATATCCATATGTATCAGTAAGAGACTAGTTAAACTGCAGCACATTCATAGCATGGAATATTATTCAGCTTTTAAAAGGAATGAAGTAGATTTCTTTGTATTCATGCAGGATAGTCAGGGGAATGGGTTGCTAGAGCATTTTTCTTTTCTATGTTATCTATTTCCATAGTATTTGATTTTGCTGTTTTATTACTATAAAATAATTTTATCATCTGAAAAAATCGAATACAGTAAAAAAGACAATAATTACCCAATTAAGTCTGCCATGTCTATCCAGAAGAAGCTCTATGAGGTCAGCAAGTGTTTCCACCCCGGTTGCTGTCATCTCCCTAAGCCCAGTCAGTGGCAGGGCTGCTCATTAAACATTTATTGAGCGGGCAAGTGAACAAATGAATTGTTCCTATGGTCACATACAATCTGGTGCCCACTCAGTACTTCGGAAACAATCTCCTGGCTACTTCTCCCCAACCTTGAATTGTACCCCAAATGTTACAATGTTTGTAAAAGTGCTTCACCATTTTTGAGCCTTATCAGATTTTTGCTGATGTTGAGCTCTAGGTCTGCCCAAGTACCACATTCAAGGAGGGGTCCCTTTCTGACTTAGGGAAATCATTTGGTTGAATCCTAAGTCACAGTTTGTCCCAGTTGAATCTCATTTGGGGAGTTCTGTGCAAATCTGTTAAGGTATTTTAAAACCTAACCCCTGACTCTAACCAAATATTGTACAAGTCTTAACCAGAAGCTTTATGTTTACTTTATGGTAAATAAGATATCTTATTTATGTCCAATTTAGTTACAGCAGAGGGCCCAAGACAGACCCCTGAGCCTTCCATGGGCACTTTCTTTCTACATGGATTTGGAGAAATCTGGTTGTGTTAGTCAGCTTTCTGTTGCTGTGACAAAATACCTGAGACAAACCACTTAAAGGAGGAAAGGTTAATTTTGACTTGTGGTCAAAGGTCACTGTTCATCTGGCCCCATTGTTAGCAGGGACATCATGGTCGAAGGGTCTGGTGGAGGAAAGCTGCTCACCTCACAGCAGCCAGGAAAAAGAGACAGAGAGAGAGAGAGAGAGAGAGAGAGAGAGAGAGAACACGAGTGACTGTGCTGGTGTACCTCCATCTTTTTCCCCTTTTGTTCCACCTGGTTCCCCAGCCTGTTGGATGGTGCTACACAGGCCCCCCCCCACCCCGGCTCAGTTTACTGTCCCACATGCCAAAGGTCTCTGGAAACATCTCACAGACACACCGGACTGTGCTTTATTAATTTCCTAGGCAGTTCTCCATTCAATCAGGTTGACAATCAAAATGAACCATCACACTAGTCCTTCTGCTTGTTTCTCAGGCACATTCATTCCCACCCCAGGGCCTTTGCACTAGCAGCTCCCTCCCCTTGGAAAGCTCCTTCTCTAGATGGTAATTCCTTCTTGATATTTGGATTCAGCTCTCATAATATGGTAACATAAAGGCCTTTCTATTCCCACCAACTCCACATTGCCTTATTTTATTCTCTTGAAAGCACTTATCTATAACTAAAATCACTTCTTTATATTTTTTACTTACCTGCTGCTTCGCACTGTAGTGTTAGTAGGGACAGTGTCTGCTTTACTCTTACCTCCTGTGCCTGGAGCTCAACAGACATTTCCCAAGTGAATGGAGAAATCAAGTTGCTCAGGTATCTGTGACTCTACTTACCTCAACTGTCTTCTAGACTCAGGCTTTCATTTTACCCACAAGTATGGCCTGGGGCTACTGTAATAAGCGACCACAACTTTGCTTAGAGCAACACAAATTTATTCTCTGACACTTCTGGAGGTGAGAAGTTCCACCTCCGCTTCACTGAGCCTGAATCAAGGCCCCTCCTGTCCCAGCAGCTCCAGGGAGAACATACTCCTGGCCTCTTCAGCTTTGGTAACCTCAGTGCTGTGGCTTATGGCTGGATTGTTCCCATGTTTAAGGACTCTTTACTTTCAGCACCTTCCAATCTTTCTGTGCTCCATCTTTCCATCTTCTCTTCTGTGTGTGCCACAAAACCTCCCTCAGTCTCCCTCATATTTTCAGGTACATATAATGGTATTCAGGACCCCAGGGATAATCCAGGATAATCTCTCCACCTCAAGACCCTTAACTTAATCACCTTTGAAAAGTCTTCACCGTGTAATGTAACATCCATGGGTTTCACAGATTAGGACCGGATATCTTTAGGGGCCACCATCGGCCTCCCACAGATGCCATTTGTGACTCTGTGAGATGCCCCTGCAAAATCAAGACATAACACACTCAGAATGCCTCTTTCCCACTCTCTGCAAGGGCTTGCAACACAGGAGAGCTTGGCAAACACTTCTGGAATGAACAAATGGAGATGTTCTATTCTACAACCCTCAACCCCAGACCTCAAAAAGAGAAAAGAATGGACTTGTAATTCCTTTGATCTAGCCAGCTTCCCCAACTCAGATCCCTAAGGAGCAGAAGAGTTGGGCACTGGGCAGCTTGTCATTAGTGGTGGCTATCTGTTCTTTAGGATTGGCTCTCAGGACCTCTCCTCAGGAGAGTCCTCCTCCTACCAGCAGCCCCTGGAGGGGATGTGGACTGCTGAGTGCATCACAAGACTAAAAGCTTACTTATCAGCAAGCTCTGCCCACTGGAGAGACTTGGGCTTGGTCCATATTTGGTTTCTCTCCCTCCCTGGGAGTCTGAGGAGAGTTGTGCTGTGCTAACTCATGCGTTGGCTTTTGTGGTACTGAATAGGGAGGTGGGAAGAGGGACACCAAATGGCACTGAGTAGGTAGAAAGGAAATTCACTGATCTTCTCCACATTGAGGGGATCCCTAATACACTTCATCTAAAAGTACAGGGTCAGTCCGTAGGAGAGACTGTTCTCAGACCCAAGAGGTACACCACAAACCTGGTGCCATACTGATGGGAGCAGGTTGTTCTCGTTGTTACACTTGTTACTCTTCAACAGTTCCTGGGGGAGAGAAGGACCTTGGTCCATCCCCAGCCCCCTACCTTGTAAGAATCAGTCAGCAGTGGGGTCTGGCACCCTCAGACTGCACCCAGGCTGGACTCCCAGTCCCCACTGCTCAGCACTGGGCCCTCACCCATCTCACACTCCACTCTTCATGGTCTCCAGAGACCCCCCCACACACACAAGGACTCTGATAGAAGGGAGGACAGCAGATAGTGACAACCTAGGGACTGTCTTGAGATCTCTAAGTGGAGAGGGTTCTCTTCCTCCTTTGGCCCTGGTGTAAACAGAGAGGGTTAAGCAGGCACAGTAGAGCCTAAGGATAGAGACTTACAGACAAAGAAGCAGTCTGGAAAGCTCACAGGTGGTTCAACTGAGCATGCCAGCACCAGAGACCAGACACAAGGTCGCCCATGACGGCCCTTTCCAGCTGGCCTTGGAGGTGGCTTGCCTGGCATGGCCCCTCTCCAGGTAGCACTGCTCCATGGAAAGCTGCCATCACTGGGAAACAGCAACAGGCTGTGGCATTTTCTTGACTATGTATTAGAATCTTGGGTTGGTGCCACAGTTTTTTGAGAACACATCAGTGCAATTATAGCACACCAATGGGACAATATGATTCACCCTGCCAAACATCTAAACAAACTAGTCCCTCCCAACTTCCGCGAGGGCCATCCATGAACGAAGGCATGTGTGCTTTGTGGTGGAGGAAAAGAATGCACAGCACCAGCTCTCACTTGCAGCAACTTATCTGTGAATTTGGAAAGTGACTAAGCCCTTCTGAGAGATTTAGAAGCAAAAATGATACCACATCTCTCTCTCTCTCTCTCTCTCTCTCTCTCTCTCTGATGCCCAGACTGCCATGCTTAGAACAAGAGGCTTGAAGAGGGTTGAAAGCATCAGAAGAGACTGTGAACATTTCACAGTCTGAACAGACTGATAGACATAATTACAAGACAACAATGGCTCCTCAATCCAGATTCACATGCACACACAGAAATTTATAAATAGAAGACAAATAGCAAATAGAAAGAATAACTTGCAACTTATAACATAAAGGGTTATTTTATCTAATATGGAAGTAGCTCTTACTATTCAATAAGAGAAAGCTACACACTCTAATGGAAAAGAGGGCAATTTACAAAAAAAAAATACAAATCATTGTTAATCAAAGATATAAGTGAAAATAACCAAGAGATGAAATTCTTTCCTCAGAATGAAAGATGAGAAAGAATGGTGACATAGCACAGATGGGGTCATGAGGAAATGGGAATTCTCACACATTACAATGAAGTTTGCCAATTTTGAGCCAGGCATGGCAGTGCATGTCTATAACCCTAGCACTCTTGGGAGGCTGAGGTAGGAAGCTCACTGTGAGTTCAAGACCAGTCTGGGCTATGTAGACAGACCTGGTCTCAAAAAAAAATTTTTTTTAATTCATTTCCCTTTTGATTTGGCCATTTTGTTTACAGAAAAGCATGTTCAAAAAAATCATCAATGTACAAAAAGATTTAGCTACACAAAACATTCATTATATCATTATTAAGAATATATTTTAAAGGGCTGGGGATTTAGCTCAGTGGAGGCCCTCCTGCCTCACAAGCGTAAGGTCCTGAGTTCGATCCCTGGTACCCCACACCAAAAAAAAAAAAAAAAAGAAGAGGAAGAATATATTCAAAAATTGAAACAATCTCAAGGCCATAATGGGGTATTAAATATATTATTGCTCAAGAAAAAACATTCACTGGAATACTGAACAGTCTTTAAAAGTGATACTGACCCATGTTAACTATATTATTATATAACGTTACATGGTATATTTATATCCACATATGTATATATGGAATGCTACTCTGAAAAAGTGGTTTGGTTTGGAGACTGAGAATATAGAGTGTATAAATATGTGACTGATAGATACATAGACAACATGTGGATAGTAATATATAGATATATATGCACATAAATCAAAGTATGAACACCTATTTCTAGGTTTATGACAACATTCTTTTTGTAATGATTACTTTATACGCAAGGAAAAAATACGACCACTTCGAAAAGATAGAATGCCTATGTGGTCAAATATCCGTAAGCTGGGAGCATCCCTTCTGGCCCCTGAGAACTTATAGAAGAAACCAAAATGTCCCAAGTGCTTCCCTTGGAATTAGGGCAGCCGTAGCGTTTATCCCCCAAGCCCAGGCCCTTCTGTGCCTACAGGGGAAGGATTCATAGTCGTGCTGACATGACCAGCATCACCTGGGCTCCTCAGGCCAACCCAGGCGTGCTGTCAGCCCAATTAAAATAGAGGTTTTACTCGGCTGACCTCTGGAAATGACCCCATGCTGGGGTGCAAGCCACAAACCCCGAGACTCCCCTTGTATCAGCACAACTGGGAGTGATTTCTAAACATGCCAACCAGAAGGCTACAGAATCTTTAAAGGTTCATCTCTCTCACCTAATTAGCTCATTAGGACAGATACAGACCTAATTTTAGAAATTCTTTCTTGATAAAAATTATTTCTCAAAGAAACAGTCCCCCTTGGTGGAGAACACACTGCATGGGTGCTCACATTATCTCACACTAATCCTACTCTTGGACTCCTCGGTTCCAAACCTCCTGAGATGCAGGTGCAGCCCACTCAGGGATCTGTTTTAGGGTTTGTTTGGTGTTTTTTTTTTTTTTTTTTGGTACTGGGGATCAAACTTGGGTCCTTGCACTTGCAGGCGCAGGCGGTGGAACCACTGAGCTAAATCCCTGGCCCTAGGGTTTGCTTTATTATCTCTGTGACCCAGGCTCTTCCTTGAGAGGCCACTGTCCTCCTCCATCATCTCTGGGTCACTCTGCCACCAGTTATCTATACCCTCCCGGCCTGGCAGGGCCCAGCTCAAGTTTCTCCTCTCAACTCCAGCCTGCACTGCCCACCCCTCGGCCTGTCCCGCTCGGCCTGCTGAGACCCCTGGTGTCCCCGTCGGGCAGCGAAGTCACAGGCGCCTGCTCGCTCTCCTCTGACTACACACACACTGCCCAGGAAATGCAAAGCTTCTTCCCAGAAACCTGGGTGCTGGCACACACCAGGCAAGGCAAATCTGCCCAGCTCTCTTACTCCGACTATAAATGGGGTTGTGATTCCTTTATATACTCCACCCCCACTTGGGTAGTTACAGGCATTATAGGAGACCATTATTAGCCTACTTCCCTGAATACCAACATACTTGCATACATGAAAAAATGAAGGCCTCCTCAAGAGGAGCCACTGGAAAAACCTTCTGCCTCTAACTCCCCATGCGACCTCCCAGCCTCCTACTCAGGCAGAGTAGAACTCCCAGTTGGTAATGCACACAAAGTCACCAGTAACAGCCCTCCTTCTGCTGGTCCGTCTAGCACCACAGCGAGCATTAGGAAAAGGCACACCTGCTTGTAGAAGCTTTACTTCTACACATCAGAAAACAGTCTTTCTATTCCTGATTTCAACAGAATAAGCCACTTCACTGCCATTTGCCAGGAAAATTATCGTAATAAATCTGTGATGTCTGTGATGTGAACAGTGATCCCTGAGAAACGGCACAACTGTGCAGCACTGGCCGGGTGTTTGATAACTGGGAATGTAAGAAAGGAGGGGGAGGGAGCCTTGATGTATTTTAATTCCCCACCCCAACTTCAATTTCATCTGTGAATTGGGAGTAATAAGAGCTATCCAGCATGGGTGTCTTAACACCGATCAGACTTCCCATTGGAGTCGAAAAGCAATGATCTGTAAATGACTCAGATAATAGGAAAGGCTTCATTATGAGAGTATCAAATAATAACTATATTGTAAGATAGAGGGTCAGGCATTCACTGAAAATGAGGGAGAGAAAGACCACTTGTGGCTAACAGGTCTACACCATCGGGACGGGGCAAACACTTTCAGGGAAGGCTGTCTTATGTGTCTTGCTACATCCCTGGCTTCTACCCACTCTGCCCCAGTCAGGACAACCAAAAATGTCTCCAGACTTTACCAAATGGGAGGCGGGGCTGGCAGAATTGGCCATGGTTGTGAAACACTGGCCCAGGTGGGGATTTACCTCACTTAAGGCCCTGGGAGCCTCCTTGGGAAGGAGCGAGCTGGCCTCCAATCCTAAGGGAGCTGGACTTGGGGGACCTTCACGGCTGGCTCCTGACCTTACAGAGTCTAGGATCTGTTTCTAGGCACAGACAGGAGAGCCAGGCTCTGGCCTCTCTGCTTCAGGACTTCCTCCCATAGGGGGCGCTGGAGCGAGAACAGAGGGAGGGAGGCGCGACAGCCTGGGCATCCGCTCACTCCAGGCACCCTGACACCTCCTGGGGCCCTGGCACAGCTCCGTGAGTAATGGTGCTGCTACCTCACGTGGCCGGCGAGAGATGGAGCTGGATGCTGTCAACCTTCCCACTGTGGCTCCCACGGAAGTGTGAGCCTGTGACTTAATTTCCCACAGCAGACCTATCTACGGCCTGGTCGCTTAATTAAAAATGTAGGTGAAGCACAAGAAATAACAACGCAGAAACCTCGCAACTGGCTACTGGGTATAAAGCCAGGCTTCCAAAGAGCTTCCTGATATGGCCCGGGTTCGGGCATGAAATATCCTATGGCAAACACTGAACAATGCCGCATATAACAACATTCTCAGGAATAAAAACCACTCTTTGAGATAACAATTTTTTAAACCCATAATGCAATAGGAAACATTGTTTCCTAATAGCAAAGCCTATTTTAAAACAAGGGTAAATTGAAACAGTATGGATTGGTACAGGGGAAAAAAAAAAATCAAGGAAGGAGACAAAAAACACCTCCGAAAGAGACCCATGGGTTGGGAAGGTGTGGCGGATCTCAACAGAAGAAGTCATTCAAGTTGTGTGGCACTGAAGGCAACTGAAGGAAACCAGAAAAAGATCAAAAACTGATTTTTTCTTTTACCTTACATCATTAACAACAAACCCTGGAGATGTATGTATAAAACAAAAATCTATAAAGCATAAAAAGAAATACAAGAAAATATTTTGTGACCCTGAAGAAGAGCTGTCTTAAGCAAGACACAAAGCAAAAGGCCTCAGAGAAAGTCTGATAACCAACTCCAGCACAGTGGGGGAAACAGGTATAGGAAAGATGCCATAAACAAGATTAAAAGGTGAAAAGCAACAAGCTGGAAAATTACATTATTTTCAACCAAACAAAAGAACTAAACCTTGAATGTATCGGGAATTCCTAGAAATCAATACAAAGATCTAAAAATATCAACAAAAAAATCACCAAAAGATACTAACAGCAATTTGCTAAGTGAAAATACAATGAACATAAGAAAAATGCTAAAAAATACCCTAAAAAGAAGGAAAATAGAAATTAAATACTTTTTACTCATAATATTGGCAAAAGTTAAAATGTTTGAAAATGTTGGCACATTTCTATACTGCTAGTGGGAGTATAAATTAGTCAGCTGCCTCAGAAGACAATTTGGCAGAACTATTAAAATGGAAAATTTACATACCCAGCAATTCTACCTCTGGGTAGAAATACTCCCTCATGTGCCCAGAAAGCATATATAAAAATAAAGATGTTGACTGCCCCAATTTTTGTAAAACCAAAAACCTAAATGTCCACCAATAAGGTAATAAACAGACTATGGAGAGTTTTGTGGAACACTATGCAGCTGTTAAAAAGAACAAGGTATTCTACATGTATGTTACCTTAGTTATTTTCCTCAACACTGGGACACAATACAGTGGTACCTCAGTTCAAAGACTTGATACTTTCCACAATTCTGGATGCAAACTGATCTGGACAAAAACCAAATCAAATTCAATGGTTGGGTTCAATGTTGACCTTATGGGGAAATTTTATTTGGTTCTCGTCCAATTTGGTTTGACCAGAATCATAGGGAGAATTGAGTTCATGAACCGAGGTACCATTGTACCTGATACCCACAATTTAAAGGGGGAGAGGTTTATTTTGGCTCATGTTTCAATCCACGGTCAGGTGGTTCCAAAAAAGAAACAGCCTAGCAAAGAGAGGAGAGCTGCTCACTTCAGCCAGGAAGCAGGCGAGTGAAGGGAGGGGCAGGGAAGGGAGATGCACCGCAAAATAGCAAGTTGCAGAAAAATGCCCACAAAATGAAGTGATTCACATTTTCAATGCACATACACGGCAGCAGCATCTACACTTGTACCAACAGATATCTAAGGGAAGTAAATGTACAGAAAATAATATATGAAAATGCTTTCAGACCTGGAGACAGGAGATTATTCAGGTGTGCTGGTAACATTCAAATGAATTTTCCCTTTATCCCTACTACTGTATTTTACTATCTTAAGAAAATCAGTCCACATATGATTTTTAGAATTCATTAAGCTTCTATTACAAAAGAAAAGAAAAAATTTATGACAAATACCTTGTAGAAACCTCATTCTGCTTACTATTAAGATAACTTGACACTGTCACACAAAGGCAGCTTTGTCCCCAACCAGATAGCTCTTAGTTGCTTTGCCTAACAATATGCCTTTCCTGAACAAAAAGATATTTACCCTACCATGCTGACATGTCAGGATGAAGTTTTATGCCTGTAGCTCAGTACCCAGAATCTCACCTGATCCTC